CAAGCTCAAGGAGTGGCTCAAGATCTATTATCCAACATTGGAGGCCCAATGACTCAAGTTAGAAGTAAAAGGATGAAGGATGCACTTAATAATCTTATATCAAATGGTTTAGTCAAGAGAATGTCAGTCTGGAAGTTCAAGTCAAGATTATTAATGTGTTACAAGGCCCATTTGAGGAAGGAAATTTCGGCCCACAAACTAAGCAAGGGAGGCCGGCCATATCTCCTAATTTTTAGGAATTGGAATCTCTATCTTTTAGGAATAAAATCATTTAAATCTTATCACACTTGTGGAAGGATAAGATTTGGAAGATTCTCTATCTTTTAGAGATAAGATCATTTAAATCTTATCACATGGAAAGATAAGATTTGATATGATTCTCTTTTATCTAATTTAGAGTTTATTCAAAATAAGAAGTCTATTCTAGATACATTGTTTTAATAGATAAGACATAAGTTGTCAATTAGAGGTTAAGTTGATTTCTAGTTCTTTAAAGTAGGAATAGAGTTAAAGATCAAACTCTTCTCCTAATTGGTAGGAGAATTTTCAGCCCCCTCTACTATAAATAGGGGTGCTTGGCCAGCATTTCATTTATACCTTTGATGAATTATTTCAATATGAGACGAAAGGAAACTCTTTGTTCTTTTTCTACTCTTTTTCGAAGATTAGTGCATTGCACACAAGCTTGTGCTTTGTTGATACATGCGAGTAGAATATGTGTTTTTCTACTTGTGGAGCTTTGTTAGTTGTTCATTGGAGCCTTTTCACTAGCCGTTCTATCCATAAATCAAAGGGATAGGGTTGTTAGAGAGGTGACCGATTGGGTTGCTAACCTTAAATACTTTCTACATCTTCTAAACCTTTCCATCCCTTTTTGGTACAAATTTTTGTGGTTTGCATCTCTTATTTCCTTTTATTTTTCGTGAGTTTGGAGTCCATAATATTGGATTTGCAAGTTTTCAAGTCCTGGAAAATTTATAACTTCCGCGTCGAGGTAAATCTGCCACCTTTGCCTCAAGATTCGTATCACAGGGATTTGTTCCCCTTCGATAGATGCCACCGGCTGTGGGAGTGAGTCACATCAAGATCTAAATTTACATCGGTCCTCCGAATCTATGTTTGTTTTAAAGGAACTATCATCTGGTACTTCTTACTCTTGTTTTAATTTCAATTGTGATTATTATTTGAGTGTTTAGAGTTTTACCCTTTATTAATTGGTTTTTTTGAGCTCAAACCAAAGCGTGCTCATAGTTTTTTTTACTAGTTTTTTTTTTTAACTACAATGCAGTGTTCCGACACAATGTTTTTTATGCTTCTGGAATCAAATGAGGTGCCTTAAGATGATGAATCAAAAGATTTCTATTCAAAGATGAAAGGAGGTTACTAATTGGCACTTGGTTGAGTTCAATGTTGGAGATGAGTCTCAGGAGGAGGCTGGTGATGATACTTTTAACTTCAATGACTTCCCAGGTACAATTTATTTATTGATATCTTTAATTTTGATTTGGAAATATGTTGAGCAATTAAATTTGTGGCTCCAGATTTGCAGCAGTTTCATTAGTTACGTGGTCATAGTGTTTGTGGCTTTTTTTTTTTTTTGCTTGCCACGGTTTCCGAATCTTTGTCCCGACTAATCGGTTAGTCGATCCGGGTCACACACCTGGCTGTGGTGGGTGAGTCTCCTAATAAGAGTTTTTTACATCCACAAGCTTTCGAATCAGAGACCTTGCTTAAACGGCATCAAGCTGTTTACCACTTGTGCCAACCTCAGTTGGTAGTGTTTGTGGCTTTTTTTCTCGCTTAACTCAGGTCCTGATTTCAAAATTTATTAATTGGGATTAGAGAATTGTGTATATTTAAATTGAGGAAACATTCATAGCTTTAGTTGTTGGTAAATGTAAATTTCTATTTCCTTGATGTGAGTTCTGAAATATTGCTTTGAGATGCTGCTTGATGTATAATTAATTATAACTGATTTTGTAGGTTGATTTTGTAATTTTCAATGAGGAATGCGGTAAACGAATTGGAGCTTTTGCATTGTATTTAGAATACTTGAGTCTAGATTTATTGTTTAATTCAATACACTTCTTTTGGCATATGCGTCCATTACGTAGTTGATGTAGATTGAGGTTATGCCAAAAGAATTTTTCAATTTGAAGCCCCAAAAGTTATTCTGTCCAATTCTGTGACAAATGAAATTTTTCAATGTCAAATTCTGGTTGTTGCTTTTCAGTTTTCTAAAGGAAATCCTTGGGCCAATCTTCCCCTATCATCCCGTAGGACTCTGGCTGAAATATAGGTTAATTTTTTTCTTCTTTCCTATCTTTGCTTCTTGTCACTATCAATGTTTATGGTGGTTTTATGTATCTTGTCAGCTTGGATGAACTGCCTTAATGCTTAGTGTTTACCTCAATAAAAGGTATGCTTTTTGTGGAACTTTTCTGTATTATTTGCTTTTGCATTTGTCATGTGTTAAGTTGTTTCCAAGAGTGACGAAGTAATAGCATTGTGTTATTGGTTCATATTCAGTTGATAATGATGATTCTTGAAGATTTGCTTTGATGTTCGTTTGCTGGCTATTTTCATCACTTCCAGTTCTGTGATTAATGGGCTATGATAGTTGGCTGGCTGCGAATTTTCATTCACTTGAAAGTTTAAAACATTGAACTTTTCTTTTTCTTTTTTTGTTAGGTAGTGTATGCATTAATCAAACTATGAGATTTTATATATCTTTTTGTTGGCCTGCAGAGTGCAGATTTAGTTTTAGTGGAAGATTATTCCTAAAACGATTAAAAAAATTAATGGATTACGAAGCCAAGAATCCAAAATTATCTCAACATTAATCCAAATTATCCACCTAAAATTTAGGTCTTCTAAGTTTGACTATGATTTGAACTCTTAACTAGTGGAATTTAAAAAGGCTTAAAAATCACTAAAAAGGCTTTGATTATTATCTTCACAACTAATAAAACTATTTAATTTTTCCATTTTATTTCTTCATTATTAGTTGTGTTCCATACCACATTGGTTTAATAGTGACACTTTTTATATAATTGACCATGCCATCTTTCTTTAATGTTTATATAATTCTTGGTAGTGGTGTTTACTCATTAGTTTAGTAATTGATTAATTTTGGTAATTCATTACTGAATCATAGAGTTTTTTTTCATAAACTAAATTAATATTTAAAAAAAGGAAAATACCAATATATTAATTCTGTTTTTAGGTCTCAGATTTGAAAACCGCTTTACGGCTGCTGACTGTAGTAATGCTTTTATATAATTTATCAAAACACAAAAAAGCATTAGTGGTCAAATATACTATGCCCAAATTTTCGTCTTGATCTACCTTTAAACTAAACTTCAATAAGCAAAGACTGTACTTGACATGAAGTGTAAAGAACTTGGAAAATTTAAAACCAACTACGGCAAATTGATCTTTCTTACTTTAAAAATTGAAAAATCAGAAATTATACTCCCTTTGTTTTTTAAAATTAGTCTTATTTAAGAAATTAAAATCTTAAAAATAGCTTATGAGATTTATATAATCTCCTACAAATTAATACCGTCCTAAAAGAATATACACAATGCACTAGAAGTGAAATTTCAAATTTGACAATTATTGTGAAAGAGAGTATAAAATTAATAAGTAGACGTGATGGTTCATTCAATTTTTCATTTTAATTAATCCAATTTATAGACTAGATAAAGTAATTATCTACGAAACCGTTATTGTATTTGGGAAGGAATGACCAAAGTAATAAATAAATTATTTTTGGCGGGATAGGAGTTAAATTTCCCCTGTTTCCCACCATTAAGGAAAAGAAACCTAAAACATGGCTGAAAAAAAAAAACAAATCTATTTACATATCCCCTTTACTTATTTAAAGAAAAATCTTCCAAGACACTTGGCAGCTCCACATTCATTTTTTTCCCGCTAAAAAGTTTTTTTAGTGAAAAAAAATTCTAACACGTAGCACAACAACTATTCAAGAAAAAAGACCGAAAAAGAAAATATAAAATAAAACTGTTGTTCGAAAAGTAATGTCCAGTACAATGTTCCAAGTAAAGGTTCTAGTAGATTATTTATTTAGGAGATGATATATTTAATTTATATAACTTCTCTACTAGAGACTTTAATATAATAATTTTGTAATAATCGAAATGTTATGAAATAATTATAATGCTTAAAAGGAGAGAGAGAAGGTGATTAATCCCTTTACACTTCATGAAAGCAATAAACACTTAGGACACGTGTCATCTTCACAAAGTTTTTTTTCCCGCCTAAACCAAATAACTCAATGATTTGCTCAAAAAATAGGCCACGTGGCAAGGGGTGATAAACCGGGAAGTAAAAAAAAAAATACAGTCCCCAAAATATTAAAAAGATCATAATCACGTTAACTCCTCCCCAATATAAGGGATATACAGTCCAGGTAATCTCCCCTTTAAACTGTCCCCAAAAATACAGTCCCCAAAATATCCTCCCCAATATAAGGGATATACAGTCCAGGTAATCTCCCCTTTAAACTGTTATACATTGGAGTTTAAATTTGTTTTAAAAAAACTACAATTATAATGAAGATCATCCGAATTATCTCTCCCTGATTCAAAGCCATCATAATCATCTCTCTCTGATTCAAAGCCCTACAAAAGATCACAAAATTTTACAGTTACCATCTCCAAGCATTAACGAATCAAGCTATGTTGGTGTCCAGATTCATTTTTCATCACAACCATCAGTAAAACTCAGAGCAGAAATCAATCAACATTTATACTCAAGATCATAAATCAAATTTCACCCAAAATTATGCATATATATATATATATATCCATGTATCCTGATCATCATACAACCATGATAATCCACGTATCCATGTAACCAAAATTATGCATATCCGATCATCATATTTTGGAAAATATGACAGATTTTCTTGCCATTGATTATCAAACAACCATACTTATCAAGGCTATGAAATATACATGTATAAATATGTTTATATGGCACGAGTTATAGCCACCAGTGAACCACCATCAAATAACGCTGAATCACCCCTTTCAGACTTTGGTACCTATTCTGCTCTTCATCACCTTTCAATGGCTGCTGCTCAGAGGTATATTGAAGACATTAACGGCTTGATAAGCACCAAAAGTCCACACTTCAGAACCGTAGTTCGTGTCATGTCAATCTGGAAGATGTACAAGAAGGCAGATCAGAAAGAAATCAAGTCACTTGAACTCATATTCATAGATGCTCAGGTATTATATATTTCGATCTTTTAACTCTTAAATTACTATGAAGTGTATAGAAACCAACTACATCACTGTATACTAATCTCTTTTTTGAATATAGGGTGGAAAAAATCAGGCTACCATCCCTAAAAGCTTTATGGACAGTTTTATCAACTACTTCGAAGAAGGCTGTGTTCGGCAAATAGCATGTTTTGATCATGCTTTGAACATTGTTGGTGGTTACCGTTGTTCAAAACACGAATACAAAATCATGTTTGAATCTAACACCATTGTGGATACTGTGGATGCTGTTGTTGATTTGGATATTCCTAACCATGTGTTTGAATTCACTCCTTTCGCTGAGATTTCAAATTTCATTGCGAATTTTGATTCCTGTTTTGATATATATTTTCCATCGTTATATTATTACAATTTCTGTTTTGATATAACTAAACATGTGAATTTTCTAACACTTTTGTTTAATCCAGATGTTATTGGACATGTTATTGGTGTAAGTGAGACGATCATTGATGGGGAGAAGAAGAGGATATCTGTGGAGCTGGAGGATGAAAGGTACATTCTTAGATCATATTTTTAAAATATGATCATTATAGATATCCAAACAGTATGTCATTAAGTTTTTTTATATCATGAAAGTTTACACAGGGCTGACAGGTTGAAGATCACTCTGTGGAATGGAAATGTTAATGCCATATCGGCAATGATGGCGGATCATCCAGTAATGCCGGTAGTGCTTATTGTGCAATATGTGAAATGCAAAAAGTGGAATTGTGAGTCATTTCATTTGCATCAAAATTAAACTTTTTATTTATTTAAATCCCATGTTGCCAACTTCACTATTTTTTTGTCTTTTAAATCTTAACAACAAGGGCTTCAGTCACCACTAATATGTACAATGGCAGAATCTTCCTAAATGACATGTCTATGCCTGCAATTTCTGACTACAAAATGAGGTTCTATTAAATAAATGTGTCTGTATACTATCTTTTGGCCAATCATATTCTACCTATTTGTCCAAATTCATGTATTATTCGTATTTCACAGATTGGAGGATATTGAGGATAAAGATGCAAGTGTCGAACGGATTTCTATACTTTCTAACATATCTGGATACAATACTTATGAAGACTTTGTGAAGGATGCATCAATGTTAACCCTGTCTGAGATTAAGGAGTTAGAGGAGGTAATGACATATTCAGAAACTTATCTTCAAAATCTTATGTGTATGTTGTAAGAATCTAACTATTAAGTTGATCTGAATTCAAACAGCCTTGCTATGTGGTTACTTTTGCTAAAATTACTGGATTGGTGAAGGATTTTGATTGGTGCTACTTAGGATGTAGAGACTGCAACAAGAAGGTGACAGAAATTGGTAAAGACACTGATACCAGGTTTGTAGGATTGCCTAAAAGTAACCAACGTGGCAAGGGGAAAAAGGTCACCAATGAAAACAATGGTGAAGGTATCAAGAAGTTTCTATGCAGCAAACATGGTGCTGTTTCTGCTGTTGCTCAAAAGTAAGATCATTATCATCACACAGAAATGATCATTTATGTGCATGTATATTTTTCAGAAATTATTTTTCACTTAATCACTATCTAATATTAATTTGGTTAATCTATGGACAGGTTCAAGATACAGGCAATTGTTGTTGATGGATCAGGAAGTGGTATAATAACCTTATGGGACAGACAAGTTTACAATTTAATTAACAAGACTGCATCTGAACTCCTTGAAGAGTTATTAGTCTACATTTTTACTTACAGGATTAATAATCATTATCAATAGATTCTAATTGAAAAAACCACAATTACAGGAACCAGGAGTCTATTATCCAATAAGCTAGATGAGCTTAAAAGAAAAAAGTGTTTGTTCAAGCTTGATGTTTCACAATTTAATATAAGGAATAGGGACAGTGAAATGTCAGTTGCTAGGGTTACTACTGATGCTGCGATTATAAAACAGTACCTACAAGCTGTATCTGAAGATTTGGTAATTATCATTAAATATTCACTTTTGTAGACATTAATTTTATTTACCAGCAAAATAAAAAATAAGCAAATTGTAGAATGTCTCACATATCACATGTACTCTTTTATGCTATAATAATGCAGGAAATAGATGCAGAAGCCAGTATTGAATTTGGGCTCAATATGACCCAAACAGATGACAGTACTGCAAAGGTGATCCGTAAACATGAAACATACGTTATGGACTATATATTACAAAATATATTCCAGATAACTGAAACATACATTTACTTACATGTCCTTTTTTGCAGGCTGATGTATCATGTACTGGGGATGTTAATATAATGCTGATGTTGGGACTCCTCTGGAAGATACTGCTGATACTCCCCCACCAAAGAAGACTAAATCTACTCAGGACCCTGAGAGTGTCAAATGCCACCAGAACAAATGTGTCAGGAAAATCTGAAGAAAATTCCATCGTCATGATCTTATTTGCGTTTGAATTTAAATTTCCAAATAAAAACTGCACTACATCAGATGTATGATGTTGTTATCCCTAGATAGAACTTTCTTTTGATGGATTTTAACATTTTTTGTTTATAAGCACTTCAGTTTTGGTGCTTTTTTATCTCAATCAATTTTTGCCTTATGTAATACAAGGATTGGTCTTGATTGTTAAGCACTTCAGATTCTTAGATAGTTAGAGTATGTTTTTTAATTTACTTTTACAGAATATTGAATGTTAAGTTCATTCCATAAGGCTTAAAATTTGAAAACAAAGAGTATTTGGTAAGTTTCATGAAAGCAATAAACACTTTATCCGCAATATAAAATCAAATTTTAATAATCCACATTTTAAAGTTTTGAAAACTCATTCAAATATATCGACTGTGAGGCAAAAATAATTAAACCTGCAAATATATAATCACTGATAAGTTGAACTTAATATAAGTCACTATCAGAGTTAGAATTGTATAAATTCCATGGAAAAACTTTTAAATGAAAAAAATTTGTGTTAATCTTATCAGTGTGAATACAAAAGATAATCTTATCAATGGAATAAGCACTAAATACGTTATAATTTATTGTTATCCCTGTAAATCAGGGTTAACCATATTTATATTCCCAAGTACATATATTACTGGCTTTAATTTCACTGTTGAAAATACCATAAGCCACCCTTTACAAATTCTTTCTGCAACTTACATTACGTTTCTGAAGAAAATTTGACAGCCAACAAGGAACAATGTCAAACAAGCGTTTTGCGAGGGTAGAACTAGGGTTTGCCTGCTTCCAAGTAATTTTTAAGTTCTGATAATAGTTTATTTTTGCATCAGTTTGTATTTCTGATACTACATATGTAATAAACTTTTGTGGTGGTTATCATCAATAAAAAAATGATGTAGGAAATTCCTTTGCCTTCAACTTTGCTCATTCAAGATGAAGATAGATCAAAAGAGATTTTAGTGATCAGTAACAATAACGAGTACAAAGTCATTGGTTTGGTCAATAAAGATTGGACACACATGAGGATTGGTGGAAATAATTGGTATGAATTTGTGAAGGCTCACATATTAGTTCTCAATCAGGGACTCTACTTTATTGTGAGGGAATTAGGGATTATGAATGTTTTTGTGTTTATGTTCTCAGCAACAGTCCAACACCAAATATGTCATGGAATCACATCAACAACATCAAGGTTCAAATGGTATGTTGTTTGTAATTTTTTTGAATTTTGACTGATATGGAAAGGTAAAAATGTTGTTTATGTTTTGTTCAATTTGGTCATACAGGTTGTACCGGTTGGATTAAGTAGTTGTATCACAGAAGACCATGCAGATAACTTTGGTTATTTTTCAAACTGGTCGCTTGTCTGTGGGGAGCGTACATATATCAATCAAATATCATATTCTCCTCATGAGAATGCTACAAGATTGGTTGTAAGTGGGTATCAATGGGATAAGCTTTTAAAAGACCATGCCGACATGGTACAACATTCTGAATTTGCTGTTTTCACATATACTGGAAAAATGCGATTAATTATGCATTTTTTCAGTAAGAAGGAGTTGAACAAAAGCCTATTACAGAAGATGACTGCTTCAAGATCCCCATAGGAGATAACCACTGCTAGCATAAAGCCATTGTAATATATTATATCTTTTACTTTCTGTCACCTTAATCATATTTACTTTACTTATTTTTTTTTCATTTTTTTAATAGACTGTTCCCTCCGAATTCTGGAGACGACATAGGAGTATCCTTACCAAAAACTTGGCTGTCATATACACTAATGCAATGATGTATAATATGCAGTTCCATAAATCATACAATCCACTGCATTATGGTAAAAAGGTGTCCCAGTTGAAGCTTATCGGGAATTGGAACGTACTGATGCTTGATAATCAGTTTCCAAAAGGAAGTGTTCTTAAATTTATGCTGGATGTCGAAAGTGTACACCCCAGAAAGAATGATGTAACTTTTTCTATTTCAGAGATTTCCTAGATCTATCTTCATCATTATTGTTTGAATTGTTTCAAAATATTTTAAGTTGTTTTAAATGTCTGGTGGGAACTAAATAACTTTTGCTTATCATATATGTGATTGCTTCATGAAATTATTTTATTCTCTTGGTCAGTAACGATATTTTCTTCCTGAATATTTTACTATGACTTCAACTGATTTGTAAGTATTTATGTTAATAAAGATAAGACTCTATGTAAAATAAATACTTTTACAGTCTTATAAATATTTAATAGAAATAGTTTCCTTAAAATTAATATTATGATAAAATAAGATAACAACTACAATATCACAATCAAAATTATCTAATCAATGATAAAGATGCATAATCATTTAAATGAGATTCCTTGAGATGTAAAAGTTGAAACAGGATCAATACTTAAAAACATAAGATAAATACCATATGTTACAAGTTCAAGAACATCTAAATGTACATTGACACATTCACAGAAGTTTAACAATTCAACAATGGTCAAGATGTCAGCAAAGGCTGCCAGAAAAAGCCGATCACAAATTTTACAAGCGAAAAGAAAGAAGATTCAAGCAAAAGCAACCAGAAAGAAGCGAACCCAAATCATAAACGATCAAAGGAGAAAGGTGATTTACAGATTTATTATACATGGTTGCTTCAAACAGATTTTACGCAATAACAGGCAAAATATTACTCCAAAGGAGTGTAGGTGGTTCAGACATCAACTTTTAAACAATAAAAAAGGCAAAGTTGTTAACGGTCGACATTCCGGCATCCTTACATACCACAATCATTATCCGTTTTTCATGCCAAATGTGAACCAACAATCAGTTTCAAATGATTATGTAATTTCAAGAGGTACGTAATTTGGGTTTGCTGTTAATAAGTTTTTGTGGCATTTTAATCGCATATGTATATATTTTATTTATCTGTACAGATTCAGCCTCATTTGGGAGGTCTATTTATGAGAACCCCAGAATGAAAATGAAGGAATTGTTGGATAAAAAAAGAGGGAAGATTGTTCAAATAAAGCCTACCATTCGAATGGGTGGTTTCAACATATCTAATACAGATAATTCAATTTCAAAAACTCATAATAATTTAGCACTGCAAAGGCACAGTTCTAACGGTAGGTGCTTTATTATTATCAGTCATTATCCATTTTATATAAGTTATTATTAGTGTTGTGTTGAAAATATATAAACATAAGTACCAGCAACAAATCAAATTTGTCCACAGATTAAAAAATGATAATAATAATTCAATTTTCAAAAATTAAAAGATAATGAGATATAGGAATATAGGACATACCTCTGAATTTGTAACATTCATATACTGTTATCTCCTTACACAGCAACATCAGACACCAATCTTAAAGGTTTGAAGCGCAAGCGCCAACAATCTGGAATGAATTTGAAGAAAACTGTGTTGCATCCTGGCAAGTACAAAGTCAAACAAAATGAGGTTAATATAATTAACGCATGTATTTTATACTTACATAACAGTTTTTTGTATATTTTTAAATGCAGTAAAAGAGTTTTTTAAACAAATAATGTTCATGCAGCTTATGATGATCTTGGTGATCCAGATTATGTATGTAAATTCTGTGTGGATTGTGGTATGCTGAGAGGACTGAAAAAAGAAGGAGACCAGCAGTCCCCACATTTTCAATATGTTGCAGGAAAGGCAAAATCCATCTACCCTTACTCAAGGAACCACCTTCAAAATTAAAGGAGTTGTTTATGTCTAATGACAGCAAAAGCAGACACTTTTTAGAGAACATACGAGCCTACAATAATATGTTTGCATTCACGTCCATGGGTGATAAAATTGTTAGCACCATAAACAATGGACGTGCTCCATTCGTATTCAAAATACAGGGACACAACAGTCATTTAATGGGTAGTCTTCTCCCACAAGATGATTCAATTCCTAAGTTCTCTCAGTTGTATATTTATGACACTCAGAATGAAGTCAATAATAGAATAGGTGCTCTGAGGTACAACTCTTACTATATCTGAAAAAATGCTTTTCCATTTAAATATAATTCCAAATGTTTCATATATATGTACATATATATATATAGTTATAAGACCGTTTTATTTTTATTTATTTTATGAACTGCAGTTCTGGTCAGAGTGGAGACAGTTTGAGGACACTAGATGCTCAAATTGTTAGTGATATAAAGGAAACATTAGATGAACACAATGTCCTAGCACAGACTTACAGAAAGATACGTGACACAGTTCAGGCGGACTCTTCAACAGAAATAAAGCTTAAGCTTATTAGTGCTAGGAAAACGGATGCAAGAAGATACAACATTCCAACAGTTGATGAGGTAGCAGCTATAATTCCAGGAGATGAGGACAATGAATTTGAGACAAGAGACATTATTGTTCAATATAAGTCTGGAGAATTGCTGAGAATAAACAAGTTGCACCCTTCATACTTTGCACTTAGTACCCGATCATTTTTCTGTATGGTGAAGACGGATTAAGAATCAATATAAAACTTGGAGATCCAGACACTGATTCTGATGATGATGATGATCAAAGTGATGATGATGATGAGGAGGAAAATCAAAATGAAGAAGAAGAGTACAGGGGTCCCCGTAAATGAATGAGTATGAGAGAGTGGTTTGCTTTCCGTATTATGGAAAGGAATGATGATGGTAACATGCTATTGTTTGCACAGAGGTGTTTCCAACAGTTTTTAGTTGATGGTTACAGTGCAGTTAAAGCTGGTCGTATCTTTTTTGTGAAGAGAAATCAGAAAAAACTACGATGTAAAACATATGAAAACATCAGAAGATCTCTAGAAACAGGCAATAATGATGCATCAGACATTGGTCAGAGGATTTTACTGCCATCCTCTTTCACTGGAGTCGACAGATGGAAACGGGAGAACTATATTGATGCAATGATAATAGTGAAGGTGTTCGGCTACCCAGACGTGTTCCTAACGTTTACATGCAACAAGTGGCCTGAAATTGTTAGGTACTATAAAAAGAGGGGGTTGAAGCCTGAAGATAGGCCTGATATTGTTTCAAGGGTTTTTAACATGAAACTTGATAGACTGATGAAGGACATTAAAGATAAGCGTGTATTTGGTCGTGGAGAAGCAGGTAAACATATTATTACCAATGATTTGTACTTTTGCATCATAAGTTCAGGCATTAAAGTTCGCATATTCCATGAAATTTAATTACTACATTGCATAACAGTTTACTCACAATTTCTTAAATTTCATTGGTTCAGGTGTTTACACTATTGAGTACCAGAAAAGAGGTCTCCCACACGCACACATAGTTGTGTGGCTACATCGGGATGATAAAATAACAAATGCAAAAGATATGAATAAATACATAAGTGCGGAACTACCCGACAAAGACGATGACCCAGTCCTATATCAGATTGTAACTGATTTGATGATCCATGGACCTTGCGGTGATGATTTCCCTCAGAGTCCATGTATGGTGGATGGAAAATGTTCTAAGAGATTTCCCAAAAAATTTAAAAATTTTACAAGCATAGTTGAAGATAGATTTTCTGATTATATGAGACGTGATGATGGCAGATCCTTCGAAAAAATGGTTCAACATTTGACAATAGATGGGTAGTTGGTTACAACTGGTACTTGACTCTTAGATACTATGCACATATAAATGTCGAATGGTGTAATCAAGCTGGGGCTATAAAGTATTTATTCAAATACTTGAATAAAGGATCTGATCATGTTTCTTTTAAATATACGAGAAATGGGGAGCCAATCAGAGAAGAATATGATAATGGTCCAAAAGATGAAGTCAGAGATTGGTATGAGGGCAGGTATCTATCTGGTTGTGAAGCTGCATGGAGAATGCTTAATTTTAAGCTCCATTACAGATCACATTCTGTAGAGCGTTTAAGTTTCCATATGCCTGGCTAACAGAGTATAGTTTATGATGAGGATCAGACTGTTGAAGATGTCCCCGTGAAAGCTTCAACCAAACAGTCAAAATTCTTGGGTTGGATGGAAGCTAACACATTGTATCCTGAAGCAAGAAACTTACTTATATAAATTTTCCATCCAAGTTCGTATGGAAGAAAAAAGAAAAAGTTTGGGTCCCAAGGAAAAAAGGATCAAGTATTGGCAGGATACATGGAGTCCCTGTAGCTTCAGGTGAACCTTTTTACATGAGAGTTCTTCTTAATGTAGTCAAAGGTCCAACATGCTTTGAGGACATCAGAACTATGGAAGGCACTGAGTACTCAACATTCAAGGAAGCTTGCTTTGTAAGAGGTTTACTGGATGATGACAAAGAATATATTGATTGCATACAAGAAGCATCTACTTGGGGTACAGGTAACTATTGTAGGAATCTTTTTGCATCTCTATTGGAAGCTAATTACCTATCAAGTGCTGAAAACGTTTGGAAAGAGACGTGGGAGTGTTTTACATGTGATATCCAGAACAAGCTCAGAATATTGTACAGGAAACCAGGTAATATAAAAATACTATTTGGATCTAATTTGTACAGTTAATACAGTATTTTTTATTACATTAATTTTATGGAATATTTAAAATTATTTCATTACAGATAACATTATTTCATATGTAGATTACATTGCATCTGAAGAAGAA